AATTTGTTATAATCCTTCTTTTCCTTAGATATTAATGAACACTTTTTCAATAGATTTTATAAAATTTAAGAAAATATTTGAAATAAATTTTATGCTTAACAAAAGTACGGGAACTTTTGCCGCACCCGTATAGCTATTTAATTCCTAAGGGTGTTTTTAGCTGGCGTGGTGTAATTGATAACACACCACCAAATAGCCTTTTGCGTTAGCTGAAGAAGCGAAATAGCTATAGCCCAGCTCTGCTTTACTATAAACTAATTTAACTAACTAGTCCAAACATTTTTTTGTTTAAAAAGTAAATAATTTCTGATGAACTTTCACAAATTTGTTATGAAACTGAGCTCAGAAATATTCACAACTTTCGGCATTTTTATGTAATATTATTTAAAAACCTCTTTAATCCACTCAAATACATAGTCAATTTTCAATTTCTTTTTTTCCTCAATTTCATTCATAATCCCTTCAATTTCTACGTCAATCCCTCCAATATTAACAATTCTTTTTGGAATATTTGGAAAGAAAAATTGTCCAAGTGGATGGACATTTATTAAATAAGTCCAAGTGGATGTCCAAGTGGATGGACATTTATTAATAAGATTTTCTTAATAAATCCCACATTTTTGGCATTTCTTCAACTTTAATTAATTTATGGTTCCCCAATAAATTCTTTTCTAAAGCCCTTTTCCTTGCCAACATTAAATATTTTTCCTGATTTTGCTCATAATATTTAAAATACACTTCTGGATTCATTAACTCTAAATGTGAATAAATTAATTTTAAAATAAATAATTACCGTATATCCTTTAATAACTACCCTGGGTAATTAATGTTTCGCCCTTCCGCTGGAGGGAGTAATTAATCGAGGGGGGGGGGGGGGGGGTAATTATACGAGGTTTGACATTTGAACATGTTATAGGGCATTTGATTGGGGGTAATTAATGGAGTGGAGTAATTATTTGAGGGAGGGCAATTAATGGAGGTTATACGGTACATAAATTCTGAGTCAATTTAACTTTATCGGGCCTGTATTGTTCTAAAACACTGTTCTAAATTTAAAAATAATGTTTGCCTCCATTCTCGCGGTTCTACCTCCGGGCGGTTCCAGCTCCAAAAAACCACAGAATCCTCAATCTTTTGGAATCGTGGGGTCGTTTAATTGCAAGGAATGATAGAAGTCTTCGGAAATAAACTCGCATAACTCATTAGCCGTTACACATATAAATGCTTACCAGGCATTGAATAATAGCCTTTCTGGCCAAGAAAATGCAAGTGAATAGGAAGAGGAATTGTTGAACTTGTAGCTATATATTTCTTTAATCCAATTTCTTCAAAAAGTGGAAATGCCCCTGCACCAGAGGAATAAGAAAACTCAGCAATTCCCAGTACAAATTGTTGTCCCATAATTTTAAGCCAATCAAAGATTTTTTGTTGTTTCCCGTCGATTGTGACTTGAGGATTTTCTATTATTGCTTAAAAGAGCAAATTTAATTTTCTCAAATTCCAATATTAAATAGGTATATTAATAATGAAGTACATTAAATAAATAATGTGTACACTCTTTTTCAAACTCGGATTACTCGGTTTTTTCCCAATTACTCGGTACTCGACGTACTCTAATTCGTACCACGAACACCACACAAATAACAAATCCTCTTGTCAAAATTAATTTTCTAGCTTACCTTTATATGCGGCGTACATATCAAAGCCTAACAATTTCAAGAAGTAATGCTCATCCTTCTTATCTTCAACCTTCCAATTGGTTTCAGATTTACTTGCATCAAATACTTTATTATACTCTTCATCTTCTTCATAGAGTACTTCTATCATATGAACACCTTCCAAAGGTGGATTCAAAACAACATTTTCATCGTATTTTAACAACAAGCAAATGCTAAAATTTAAATAAAATTATGTAGAATGGGGAGTTGGGAGTGAAGTTTATGAACAGTAGTATTCCCACAATCTGTCCACAAACATTTAATCCGACTTGCATGCGTACTTATTTAGTCCTCCCTGTCCAAAGATTTACTTGATGTAAAAAATGGCCAGTCATTTCTTACTTGCATAATCTAAAATAATTTTCCTGTGTCTTCGTTAATTCAGCCACTCTCCTTAATTCAGACATTTTTTTTGTTTCCGGTTGCTTCAAAAAAATTTTGGTGACCAAACTTACGGTGACAAAAATTCCCGTACACCGAGAAGAGGACCTCATACAGAGAGAGAGATCAAAACAATAATTACCCTCCCTCAAATAATTGCCCCCGATTTTTCCTATTCTTTTTACGGTTTTCGCAGGAGCGGATCTACTCTATACAGTATTTTTTGAAATACAGCGCCTTTTATAAATAATATTTTTAATTTACCACGTCATATTTGCCTTTGTTATGTAGAAAATTTGCAAGGTTTAACTAAAAACGAATGATTGAACTAATATTCTGTTTTGTTTTAGCTTACGAAGAACTTGTACTGTGGGTACAATGCCTCAGTTACCAGCAATATTTTCTTTCCATTATTGGGTTGAAAATGTTGAATGGATTGAGTACCTGAAGACGATGAACCTTCCTCAAAATTTTGTTGAGAAAGTAAAGGAGCTTCTAAAAGACTTTCCCCTTTCTTTCTTCCTTTAAAAGGGTTCCACATACAATCAACATTGTAATGTAGCAAAAAATAAAAAATAATTAAAAAAAAATTAAGCCAGAAAATGGAAAACATTTTCAGCTGAAAATTAAGAATTAATTAAACTTCAAAATTTAAATATAATTTGTTTGTAAAAATAATCTAGTAGTTTTTTTTCCTCATTTTTTTCACTTTAATTTATCCACGGATTTTATTTGTTACTTTTGGATTCTCTAATATTATCTAATGAATTGGATTGAAATAGAAGTGATTGGAAATGTAAGTTCTATGACTCTACTTCTGACACTTATTAAATTATTGCGCGACCCCATAAAATCTTGGCCCCAACTCCGAAGCAGGTATCGAAGGATTAATGAGGATTAAGAGGGATTAATTAAAAGTGGTATTGAGGGATAATATTAAAGTTATATTAAATTATCATTCTTTGAATAAAATTTAATAAAATTAAATAACTGATTTAAAATTTAGAGCAATAATAAAATTAAGTCAATAAATTTTAACTCTTTAAAAATCCCTCAATATCCCACCTCTCTCCTTGCCTTTAATTTATCCTCTTGCCTTTTATCTTTTTAAAATGCCCTTTACTAAATTATAAATTTTAATAAAGTAGATAGATAGAATATAGATATAAGATAAAAAATAAATAGAATTTCGCAACTTGTCTATGGCTTTTGCGCAACATTTAAGGACAAAATCAAAAGGCACAAAACAAAACATTTTAGCTAAAATGTTTAAACTCTTCCAAATGTTATTTAAAAACAATGCATCGTTGCTGATTCCTATTAAGGCTGCACGCAATTGCGGATTGCGAGTTGCGGAATCTTTTTTTTCAACTGCGTGTAGCCCTGATTCCTATACATCTCTCCAGGTAAAGATGTACATTATATGACGGAATGAGATGTGTTTTTTTCTGGTCAACCTGTAAAATCTTTGATAGAATTTTTTTAAAAAAATTTTATTTTTAATTTATTCTTTTTGAAATATCAGCCAATTCCTCTTGTTGAGAAACAATATATGAATGAATAAAAATAGGCCTTTAATCGGTTGGATGTTGACACTCGGTTTCATTCTTAAATGTTTCTATTCCATTTCCCATCTAACAAATTCTTCCATAACATAAACATACTTTCTAAATTCAGCTCCAGAACAGAATTGTTTTGAATAATTTGATACCCTCTAGTGATAGTCAGGAGTTAAAAAATCCGAGAGTCGAGATTGAGACCGGTAATCAACCCCAAGACTGAGTCCCAGACCGAGACCGAGAGTCGAGACAGAGAGCTTAAAAACCCCGGAAAATTTCTCGACTCGGGAACCGAGACCGAGAATCTCGATCATCACTATTACCCTCGGCCTTTTTCAAGACGAGACATATCATGAATTTTTACTCAGTCATAACTCATTCCCTCAATAGATCCATCAAGCTAGAAGGAATACACCCTCGTTTCCCTTCATCCTTTTAATTATTTAAAGTAGATTAATTTAATCAAAGAAAATAAAATTATTTCTACGAGTTTAATGCAAATTTTAAGGATAAAACCCCTCAACCAAAAAATAATTTTTTTAATTTTTTATCAGCCAAACTTTCAAAAAAAATAAACAAAAAAATAAATAAAAATTTATAACAAATGTTTTGAACATTTTTCGTTCTTTTTCATGAAAAATTTTATTTTGTTCATTCAACCATTTTCTAATCAATCAATTGAAAAGGAAATCCGTTCATTTTATGTTGAAACAAAGTGTTTAAAAATATTTTTATTTACAAATTGGAGAGAATATTGTGAAATTCTAGTTATTTTTTCTTCATTTACTACAATATTTTTTATTCTCCTTTCAATTTCTCCTCGATTTATTCTTCTCAATTTAAAATTTTGTCAAGAAATTTTTTTAGAAATGGTCCAAACCAGACTAGGACACCGATACGGATTTTGGTATCCGTATCCGGATATTTACGGCGGACACAGATGGATACAGGCGGATATCCGCAGGCATTTTTATAATATCTGTATCCATATCCGTATCCATGACCATGTCTGGTCCAAACGGGATTCGGAACTCAAAGATTTCATAAATTTTCGGAAATCGAGAAAAAACGATAACTCCTGACTATAATTCCGACCATCCTTTATTATGTTGTTTTCTCTTCTGAAATTCCAAAAATTTTCACTTGCGGTGATAGAAAAGTGAGGAAATTTGAGTTTAAAAAATTTATTTCGAATTCTCCCTCAAAAATTTTTAGTTCCGGATATTCCAAGTTTCCAATAACCGCACCCCTTCTACTCATACTTAAAACATTCCTCTGCTTATTCATCATAAAAATTTTTAAATTACATAAATTTTTCCAATTCCAAACGTTCATAAAATTATTTTTTATTTTCCAAAATTTTCCAGAAAAATAAAAATGAGTCACAACAAAAATAAACAACAAAGAATACATTACAATAACCGTCCACAACGTCTAAATCAAAAACTTAAAAGAAACAAAGAAAATATTTTTAAATTAAAAAGTCAATTTGTTGTTGATAGAAATGATAATGAAAGATTGAAACAACAAAAGAGAAGCTTTAGACTTTCTAAATTAATTGTAATAAAGCCAAGTTCATCTTTAGAGTAAGTTATATCTTGTTCATGTCTTTATTGTTGGGGTCGTCTTTTCGAGAAGACAAAACAACAAGAGTTTGGAACCGGGTATTCTAATTGACCTTGAAGACCTACAACTCTTGAAAAGGGATTTGGAGGTATTAAGGGATACGTATCCGCCTCTATAGAAATAAGTTCATAGTTCTATATTTTAGTTTTTTAAAACATCATGATCGTGTACCATACCAATGGATGAGTAAAGATATCCTTTTAAATCCCACAAAATCCATCTATATTCCCTTAACCTCCAAATCCCTTGATACCCAGTTCTATACCCAGTTCTATACCCAGTTCTATATTTTAGTTTCTTAAAACATCATGAATATGTACCAAAACTCTGGATGAATAAAGATCTCTATCCCCTTAAATCACACAAACCATCTACCTTGATATCCTTTTTTTAATATTCCCTTTCAAAAGATTTAGGTCTTCAGGGGCCTCAGAGTGTATATCCTCAAAAGTGAACTCACTCCAAGGGACTTTCTAAGCTAATTTTAAGAACTTGTAAAATTTTTAATTGAAAAATATTTGCTTAAATTTAGTGATAATAATAAAACAATTAAATGTAATCTTATTAAAAAAGAAAATACAGTGGAAGAAGAAGCAAAAATAATTTTAAAATTAAAAGAATTTAATAATATTTCAATTAATTTATTTATTAAAGAAGACATTAAAAATACTAAATTAATTAAAAAAGAGGATAAAATTTTAAATAAAAATGTTGGAGATGAAAAAGAAATTATTTTAAAAATTAATAATAATGGAAATTATTTAAATAATATCGGAACAAAAATTGAAAATAAAGAACAAAATGGGGATTGCTACAAAAATAAATTTTCTTCTTGTTCTACTAATTTAAAAACAGAATTTAGGGTAAGTAAATGGGATTTTTAAAACATTTATTAAGTTGCCTCTCCGGCACTCACATGGGTGTCAGATAAGCCTTCCACGTTGGAAGGCTTATCTGATATCAAAATGATAAAAAATGATTTTTCAACCCCCAGGTCATCAATTTCAATGTTGATCACTCTCCCGGCTGATCACTTTCTCGTTTGATCACTCTGAATCAATCTTCCAACAGATGGATTAACCGTGAGAGTGATAAACATTGAAATTGATCAAATGGGAGTTGAAAAATCATTTTTTATCACTGATATCAGTTTTAGATAATATTAATTTTTCTCGTTTGGTGATCAAAATTCCTATTGGTGACCAAAATTTCAGTGCCCAATATTCCATTTTTTTTACTTGGTGACCAAAATTCCAGTGACCAAAATTCCGTACCTATTAGAAGGGGTCGGTCTAATAGAGACAGTCGCACTATTAGAAGAAATACTGTTTTTCATACTCTATAATATTCAAAAAAATTTTAAAAACAATTTCAGAAATCCTCCATAATTAACAGCGTGGACCTCATTTGGGCTGAAACAAATAGTCAAACTATTTCTATGAATTCGTCATTAATTTGTGAACCCAAAAAAGAGCTTGGACCTTCTACAGAAATTGTCCAAAGTGAACAGAAAAGTAGTGGATATTTAAGCATGAATTTTGTTTATGAATTTTTTTCCAAAATTTTTAAAGGGTAATGTGTAGATGAAATGTTTTTGTAAACTTTTTTGCTTCAATATTTAATGTATTAAGAGATTATGTAACAGATTGTGATTTGGAATAAAATTTTAAAAATGTTTTATTTAAATCTAAAAATGTATGATTTTCTGGAAACGAATAAAAGCCTTAAATTTTTGTTTAATTAACTGTACTTTAATGAACTTAACAATCCAAATATATATTTTAAAATTTTCCATCGCGAAAATTTTCAATTTAAAAATTTAAGTCTTCTAGAAATTTTAGATTGCAAAAACTATTATGCAAAAACTATTAAAAAAAAACCTTTAAAATAATAACTGGCTAAACTACATTTTCCGGTCCAGGCTCAGAATTCTCCTAATTAAGGATTCTTCTATCCATCCAAATATACTCACTCCCTGCCTATCCTAATCCTCTCTTTGGATAATTGTCACTCGATATCCCTTTAAATTATCAAATTCTCATTAAATTTCTTTTAATTTTATAAACTATACTTTAATTAATTCCCCCTCGATCTCTTATTCCGTATATTTCAAACTCTCTATTCTAATTTAAAATTTAAAATCAAACAAATTTTTTTGAAAAATTTATGCTAAAATTTTTTTAAAAATATACAGCTGAATGGGAGGAAAAATAAATAATATTCACATAAAGAATATTAACTTATGGAAATCGATATGTCAACACCGTTAACTACCTCTTGTACTAACAACAAAAAATTAAAACTGCATCAATTATCTAAAAAACTTTCTAATTTCTCTGAACAATTTTCTACCGATATTCCTCCTTGGGCTACTGCAATGCTTGAAATTGTTAATTCTGTTATGGATCTCTGCAAAGACATTCTTACAACAGAACCAGAACAAGAAACTATTAAACCTGTTCCTAAATTTCGCTTTGGTGATCCACATTCTGCAACCAATGAACAACAAAATAATTCTTTCACTAATCAATCGTATTTCACCAATATTTTAAACAACGCTATATTAGACGCTGAAGAAATTAAGTCTAAGTCAAAGAGGGTCGTTATTGAACGTGCCCCAGAAAATGAAGACATTAATTCTTTAATTAAAAAAATTGCTGCCGATAGTGGAGTTTCTGCTGATCTTGTGGAAAAAGAAATTCATCGACATCCAAATCGTGAGTCTTCTGAAGGTATAAATAAGAAACCAAGGATTGTAAAAATTCCATTTGCCAATAAAAAGTCTAGGGATATCTTTTTATATAATTTTCGTAAATGTTTAAAGAAAAATCCAACTTTTCCGCAGTTTTTAACTGCAAGACGTGATATGACTCGTAACGAATTAAATATATTGTATAACTTGCGAAAGCAAGCATTTTCTATGAATCAGGCCGAGAACATGTTTAAGTACATTGTTGTCGATCTGTCAATAATTACACTCAAAAATCCACAACCGCTCAGGGCAATCAAAAATAAATAGGGACACGCAGGCAAACCGCAGTCAAAAATAAATACCGGAAATTTTCAATCATATAAATGTTTATTATTTAATTCTAGATCCCTAGCTAATAAAATACCGGATTTAAATCAATTAATCGAAAATTCTAATCCACATATTATATTAATCAATGAAACATGGCTCACAACAGAAAATACAATAAACTCTGAACTTTCATATATGGGCAATTATGAGATTATATTAGCTAATAGAATAGGAAAAAGAGGGGGAGGATCGGCAATCCTATTAAAAAATAACATACCGTTTAAAATAATTTTCAATGGCTCTAAATTCCAATCGGAGATAATCCATATAAAATTATTTCTAAAAAAAGAAATTAGCATTATAAACATTTACCGCCCACCAAATAGTTCAATTATTAATACAAAAAAATTATTTAAGTTTCTTTTAAATCAAACTGATCAAAAAACAATATTATGCGGAGATTTTAATATTAAACACATAAATTGGGATTCCAAAGAATTAACTGACAACTATGATAAGATCGCAAATATGTTTTTGGAGTTTATAGGTCAAAATCAATTAAATCAACTTGTTACTGAACCGACTAGGGAAAATTCAATCCTGGACCTTGTACTCACACCTGCTTCCAATTTAATAAGAAATGTTAATGTTAGGGAGAATTTTTCAACTTCTGATCACAGAATGATAGAGTTTGAGTTATATGAGCAGATCAGAGTAATTAAAAAACCAAAAATTTATGTCAGAGATTTAAGCAAATCTAATTTTATTAATTTGAATCAAGTTATATTTGAAAATAATTTAGATCTAGGTATATTAACAAAGTTCACTGTGGAAGATAAATATAATTTTCTGACAAAGGAATTGTTATATCTTTATAACAAATATATACCGATGAGAACCTTGAATAAGATAATAAGGAAGACATACCCCAAACGGATTAAGGAATTACACAAAGAAAAACTTAGATTATTCAGAGTCCTTAAAGAAAGAAAACATGATCATAACTTAAGACTTGAGTATAAAATCGTTTCAAAAAACCTGAAAAAACAATTAAAAATTCATCATAATACTAAGGAAGAAAAAATAATAAGTAAAGGTGGAAATTCAATACATAAGTTTATTAGAAACAGACTTACTCAAGATAATAACATACCCTGTTTAATTGATAAAGAAAATAAATTTTACTTCAGTAATGAAGAAAAATGTAATATTTTAGGAAAAGAATTTCAAAAAAACTTTCAAAATAAAAATATTAATATATCAAATTATAACAGAAATATAATTCCGAAAACAAAACTTTCAGACATAGATCTAAGCACTAGCATTGTGTGGGATGTCCTTAGATCACTTCCTAATCGTAATTCAACTTCGCCAGATAACATTCCTTATATATTATTAAAATATTGCGCTGACTCACTTGCAAAAATAATCACAGATATCTTTAGATGTATTATTGATAATAAGCAAATTCCATCTATTTGGAAAACATCACTAATTATACCACTTTTTAAAAAGGGAGAAAAATCAGATCCAAAAAATTATCGACCAATATCGCTAACATGCACCTTATGTAGGATACTTGAAAGAATTATTGCACAGCAATTAACAAAATTCCTAGAAGATAATAAGTTCTTTAATAAAAATCAGTTTGGATTTCTTAAACAAAGGTCCACAACCACACAGTTATTATCTACCATGGATGATTTATATAATGCAATACAAGATGGATATAATATAGATATTATTTACATCGACTTTGCTAAAGCATTTGACACTGTACCAATAAATATTCTTTTAGATAAAATAGAAAGTGCAGGCATAAGTGGAAAAGTATACTCATTTCTTAAAAACTTCATATCGGCTAGAAATTTCAAGATTAAGATAGGTGACCAATTATCCCACAACTATGAAACATTCTCAGGTGTACCTCAAGGAAGTGTCCTAGGACCACTTTTATTCCTTATTTTTATAAATGATCTTCCTAATGAAATCCCCGAAAATGTTGGAGTAAAACTATACGCAGACGATGTAAAACTATATATAGCTCATAAAAACGGCATAGAAAGAGAACAACTAAATAAAGCTTTAAGAATACTCGAGAAATGGACGGAATTAAATGGTTTAGAAATATCCCCTAGCAAATGCTTTGCTTTATATCTAGGTAAAAATAACATGAAAAGAGAATATATCATACATGGATTAAAAGTACAAGAAACAGAATGTATTCGTGATCTTGGAATATTAATTGATTCAAAAATAACATTTAACAATCATATAAACATGATCATAAAAAACGCATATTTAAAAAGCTCCCAAATAATAAGAATCATTAAATCTAGAAATTTAAATCTCCTCGTTAATATATATAAGACATATATAAGACCCCAACTAGAATACGCAACTGAAGTATGGAATCCACAGATGAAATATCAAATAGAGAAAATTGAAAAAATTCAAAAACTATTCACTAAAAATATTTACAAAAAATGTGGTTTAATCAAGGTCCCATATGAAGAAAGATTAAATACTTGTAAACTCGAAAAGTTAATAGATAGAAGAAAAATTGCCGATCTTTCCACCGCTTTTAAAATTATAAAAGGTTTTACATCCCTTAATTCCCAAAAATATTTTAATTTATCAAATAGATCTCTTCGCAGGCCTCTACTTCTTAGGACAAAAAAATATACAAATAAAACAAAAAATAATTTTTTTCACAGAGTGGTGAATAACTGGAATAATCTTCCAAATGAGCCATTTAAAATAAATGATCCGAAAAAATTTAGAAGCTCATTAAAATCTAATAATTAAAGTAAAATAATAAAGACATTGAGCCCTGGCGTGTGTGGTTTTTAGAGTGTTTGTTTACTATTTATATATTTTTTTTTTCATTTCATTTTTTTTGTTGTTGTCTCACATATTTTCTTTAATTTGTATTTTTATGTTTTTTATGCACCACTTTAATGTATTTTAAAATACCTGTGGTTTGCTGATAAATAAATAAATAAATAAATAACTAAGAAAGTGTTCTAATGACCGGCTCTTCTACTTTCCTGTTTATATAAAACATCCACTATAAGACTTAAAATTTTGTAGTTTTTTCATATTCTTTTCGCACATTAAAAATTTCAAGATTCCCACCCGCTAGCAAAAATGACTTCGAAATGATCGTATTATATGAAAAAGGAGAAATCCAACTTGCAAACAGTTAGAAGCTTACTAGGCGGGGGTCTATAATCTAGTAAAAGAAAAGGCAATGCCAATAGCTCAGTCGGTAGAGCAAAAGCGCTAGCTGCCAGAATGTCGCAGGATCGAGGGCTAATTTTTGCCTCTTTCTTGCTATATTTTTGTTGAGTTGTGTTACTTTATAAGCAGTCGGCTTAAACAAGAATCGTTCCAGAAAGTTCGATAATTAAAATCATAACCATATCTGAATACTTACTCAATATAAACAAGAAATTAGTGAGCATCTGGTCATCTACTCTAACATCTTACAAAAAAAGGGGACAGATGCAATAGAGCAATATGCTCTCGTTTTTACTTTTTTACAATCTTTTACTGACTCTCTTTCAAATAAGCTCAGCGCTTAATCGTTTTTAGATGATCGAGGACTATGTCGTGGACTCGTCTTTTTTGGACTTTTAGGTTTTACTCCTTGGTGATCTGCTACTCCATGATGTTCTCCTCCTATTTCTTGAGGAACTTTTTCACTTTGATGCGGTCCTCCTACATGATGAACTTCTCCGTGGTGTCCTGCTACTCCATGATGATCTCCTACTCCTACTTGGAGCACTTTTTTACCTTTCTGCGCTCCTCCTCCTTCTTCTTCATGATGGCGTTTATCTGCTATTTTTAAATAATTTTTTTATAGAAAATACACTTACTTCCCACAAGCGAAGTGGATGCCTTTCTTTTTTTAACTTTATATTTTCCTTGATTCGAATGTTGTTTTTTGAGATAATCCACGAAGGAGACTTCCTTGTAAATTTTAACGAGTAAAAATCGAGCAATATTTTCCATGTTTATCATATTTTTATCATTCAGTTTCAAGCACTTTTTAACAGTTTCAGTTTTCTCTTCTTCAGTTTCCCCTTTTACTTTTTCAACCCAACATGTCTGAAATGTCATTTTATTAATTTTATGAAATAAATCTTGCAAAATTTTTATGATAAAATGATTTAACTACAAAATCATTAAAGTTTGTTAAAAATTAAAAGTAACGACCTTGAAGGTTTTAAGAACAAAATCTATTTTTTCCTCCATACTGAATATAGTTTTTATTTTCTTGCCAAGAAGTTCAAACTTCTTTTCGTTATCAAATTCCGACTCTTTCTCATCAACTGTCGACTTCCCCTCAACTGACTCATCTATTTGCATATCTTCAACTGTTTGATCCTCCTTCTCAACTTCTGATTCCCCTTTGTTGTTGATTAAAAGGGACTTTACTTCATCTGAATCTTCATCAATTTCTATTGTCATCCACATTGCTTTTACTGCATCACTTCCATTTTCTGCTCCGAAATGTTCTAAATCTTTAGGCTTAATTTCAAAAGCGTATGTTATAGATTCGTTCCATGCATTGTCTGTGTTATTCTGTAAAATATTAAATTTTTGTAAATTTAATTGAATGTAAATTCGTAATCAAATATAGGTATATTTAACTTGAGAAAAAAATTTTAGTTAAAAATTTTATTACCCCTTTCGCATCGTTATAGCCATAATATACTATTTCTCCCTTTCCCATAAAATCTTTCAGCATTTTTTCGTCGTCAACTTCAGCTCCCACGTGTCCTTTCAATTGATCAGCTTCAGCTCCCACGTGTTCTTTCAATTGATCAGCTTCCTTTTCTTTCTTTATATTTTTATGACTTAAACCCTCTTCAATCAATTCTCTTTTTGCTGCATCTTCAAACTGTTCCTCTGGATCAACATATCCTCCGGGAGTAGTATATCTTCTATCTATAAGCGAATAATCTTTATTTTTGATTCCTTTTACAAGTAAGACTTTATACGTATCTAATTTTAGTTTAGACGGCAAAATATATTTTTAGGACTTCTAAATATGAATCACTCCTAGTACGGAACACGTTAGATGATTTATTTGAAAACATTTAAAATGATTAGGTAGTCTAATTATTATAGGTTTCCCATAAGAAAGGAAAGAAAAAGAGCAAAGTTGTTTTTGCCTAAATGCTCAACTTTATTGAAGAAAGTCTAAAAATTTCCAAATACCCTGAGCATTTCTATTAATTGTCAATTTTATGGAATTAGCATTTAATTAATAATTATTTTAGACCTTTCAATCTTTCATCCTTTCCATTTATAACAGCAAGAAATTTAAATTCTTTAGTAGTTTCGGTATATATGTATAAAATTGCTCCAACTCCTGTACTTGGTCCCCATTGATACAATTCTCCTCGGCCTGTAAAACCTGTACGCGCAACTGGGTTGATTGGAAAGCCACGTTCATCCACTTCGTATTTTCTAATAATTATTTTTTATTTTGTTTTGTGTTTGCAATAAATATTCGTGAAAAACAGCTTATTATTAAATTGGGTAATAGTTAAGTTTGTGTTACCCCTTTTTTCTTTTGGCTGTAGTGTGTGTACCGAGGTAAAAGTTCGGACGTGACATTGTCATTCGATTCGTCTCGACGAGCTGAGTCGAACGGTACCACTCCTAATTTCAGGAAATGATTTTGGACCGAGTATAGGTCCCGAAATATTGAAAACCCATAGGGGGAGTGAGGTCGATTTTGGTATATATCTCGGTCCAGAATCATTTTCTGAAATTGTGAATGGTACCGTTCAACTTAGCTCGTTGAGTCGAATCGAATGACATATGTCATGTCCCAAACATTTACCTCCGGTACACTACACTACAGCCGAAAGAAAAAAGGGGTAACACAAACTTAACTATACCTTAAATTGTGTATGATAGGTATTGCCGAGGTTTGGATCTTTTCCAAAATAATTCTATTTGATCTCTCCCCCTTTCCCAGCTTTCATCCCCGTCTCCCTCAGAATTATAATTTAGGTTCTAAGCTTCAAATAATTTTAATAACAATAAATGAGAATTTCAAACCCAAAAAATGAGCAACGATTAATTATTCGTTTTTTATGATTGTCTTTATCGTGGTGGACAAGAAAATCTTCTTTATTGTCAGTATGCCATAATGGGGCATATTTTTTAACATTTTCGTAATCAGGCTTAATCCAATGAGTTGTTAATAAATATCCTGTTTTCAAATGATATCCTATAACCCAACTTGGATTGTAGGTACCATGAATTTCAGCTAAAAAGTAAATAATTATTAGCATGCATTTATTTAAAAACAATTAATTTAGCTTAAAATTTATGATTGCTTATTGAATTTTTTTAATATTGGAATTTAAAAAAAAATTTTTCATAAGTGCATAATTCTCATATCAGAGCTAAATATGTATGTTTCCCCTTTATTATATGTAAGTAGTAGTAAGTCCCCCACAAATGTAACAGGCAAGGGGTCCACTGAAAAAGCCTGTGCCTGAGGTGTGGTATTTTTCCTTTGAAAAAGCCGCCAAATCCGTGCCTAGAGGGCACTTTTTTGCGCGAAAAGTCCCCTTAATCCCCCTAATGTATAAGCAGTGAGCTTATATATTATAAAAGCGTCAATTTGATTATACTAGCCCGGCACAGCCCCAGGTATCCTTTGTCTCTTTTCTACTACATTTTTAACTTTTCTTTTGGATACTCTTACGCAAACAAATTTTCGACATAATACTTCTAGACGAGGGTATAACGATGTAAAAGGTTCCATTCAATCCCTCCTTTATATCCCATAACTAAAACTTCTTTTAAAACTTTCCAATTAATTATTATGTCTTGTAATATTTAAAAATAAAATTTAAAAACATACAGACGTCAATTATACAAACTTTTCCGACAGTTATGTAACAAGGACGTTTGACAGGTTCACCAGGTTCCATTTTCATCTCATAAGCTATTTTATATAATTCCTTTAAATATTTTATAACATCTCCATCTGACACATTTGTTTGTTGCTGTAAGCCCAATACATTTTTAATTTCTTTTGACATATTCACAACATCCTTCACATCATCAGACTTTTTATCTTTTAGAACCTTTTCAAATTTTTCTTTTAGTTTTGCATCAGACGAAGCCTTCTCCAATGCATCTTCAACATCCTTCTTCGATTTTTCTTTTTTAATCCCAAAATCTTTCAATATCGCAGAAGCATTGTCTTCTGCCGCTTTTAATATATCTTTCAGTTTTCTTGCGTATGGTTTTACAAACTTCACTAACTGATCATATTTATCTTTATCCTCACTCAATTTTACGTAAGCTTCATACTTCTCTTCACCAAAAAACACTTTAAAAAATTTTTCCTGCCATTCCAACACTCTTTTAAATTCCTCCTCAGTACCCGTAGCTCTAGTGTATTCGAGGGCTTAAATTAAAATGATTAAACAAGTTTCTAAATTATTGTGAAAAATCAGATTATTTTGGACGAATCTGCGATTTTTCATTCAAATCCAACTCAAATTTGTACATAATAAAATCCAAAAAAAATGTAAAATTTTTTTTGAGAAAAAAATTAGTTCAGGCTTTCGATATTCGCTGATTTTTCCTCATTTTGTGGTTTCTGATAGGTCGGTGAGGATTATTTTGAAAAATACGGGTTTCAGATTTCTTTGAAGTTTATGAGGATTAAGAGGATTTTTTTTATTTTTTGTAGTTTTTAGAATAAAATGTCATTTAGACTAAAAAATCTCGCCTGCGACGCTTAAAAGGAAAAAGTTTTGGCCTATACATTCACTACATTTGTTGGAGTCAAAAAATATTTAATTTTTATGCTTGATAATTAAATAATGTAATATTAAATACCGCCCCCTTTTTAATACAATATTTTTATATAATTATTAATTTCCAAAAATATCAAAATTTTTTTAAAAAAATTACAATTATGAACTCCATTATATACACGCGGCAATGGTAACTGGAATTCCGGCTTGTAAAGTTCCTTTGTGCATCCATCTTTACCAACATCATTCGGTTCCAAAAAGAAATTCGAGTCTCCTGGCAAAACTTTGGAAGCATGCTCAAATGGCCCCGAATCTTCACCTTTTTGTAACCCCTTTGCTATAAGCAAGGCAAATACGCCTAAAAACAATAGGCGCATTTTTTTCAGTTTTTTTTTGTTTTTTTTTCTAAAATTTAATTTATTTTTTCTTATTATTAAATTAATTTAAAAATACTATATTTATTTTAATAAAATAACATAAATTTTTAAATATTTCTTAACAAATAAAATTTAACATTAAAAAGGGAGATAATGTAAAATCTCTATTAGAATGGCCATCTCTATTTGAATAGAGCCCCCTGTAGTTGAATGGCCCTTGGAGAATGATTGAAATGGTCCTCTCAGTTGAATGGTTAATGGTCCTTAATAATCCTTTTAATGGTCCTCTTCAGTTTAATGGCCCTCTTTAATAGAATAGTTCCTTTTCATGTTGAAATTTCCCAAATCTACAAAGATTCAATAAAAAGTGATGATTTCTGTTATTTTTCCTTATTTTTGGAGTATTATTAAAACTAGTGTTAGGGGAAAATTTTTTCAAAATTCGAATTTACTCAGCGAAAAATACAATGACCCTTTCAATTGAATGACCACCTCTAGTTTAATGGTCCTTTGTAGGATGATTGAAAAATACAATTTTATTGAAAAATACAATGAAAAATAAAATATTATATAAAATAAATAAAAGAAAAATTAAAGGAATGATTAAATCAAGAAAAATTCTCCGTATTTATTTACATCAGATTCCGCGCATACATAACTTTTAATGACTCCGCCTATAATAATTTAATAGGGGAAGTTGGTGACAGATTGAAGGGCATAGAAATAAAGAAAAATAATTGGCATCGAAAAATTTTGTCAATAATAAAGTCACAATTTTGCCCTCTTTCCTCTCACTATTATCTTTCGAAATCGAATTGTCGATTATTTTATCTAATTAAGAAAAAGTATTTTGTAGTTTGTATCCCTTCCCCTTATAAAGACATGCACATTATTATGCATACAACACGTGCAAAACGTTTCGCTGATCACCACCCCTTATCCTCGTATTTTTTAAAAATTTAAAAAAAAAATTAAAAATTACAACAAAGAAGCTAAAATTCACATGTCAAAATTTCATAATGCCCTTTGCTTCTCAAACACATGATTTTAAAAAATTAAAATTTTAAATAATTTTTTTAATTTAAAATATATTTTTATATTAATTTATGAAAAGTTTTCTTTTAATTTTTGATAACAAGTAAAAAATTAAAAAAGTAGTTTTCTAAATTGTAGTCAGATGCGCAACAGAAAATGGTAGGGTTACCTGAACCCCGATCGTTTTTCGACTTCAAAAACCAGTGATGCGGAAATTCCAAAATTTTGCCGTTTCCTTTCAAGCTTCCATCTTTTGCTCACTTCTTTTTTCATCCATCATTAGGGTCTTGGAACCGGTTCCGGACATTTATCGGTTCCAGTTCCGGAACCGGACTTGACCGGGTCGCGAACCCCTGCATCACTGTCAAAAACACCTGACCCGAGAAATTTTCCAAAACTCGATAAAAACCCGACAACCTTGATTTCCCTCTATTACTATGTATAGCAAACATAAAAGTGAGAATATAAAATACAACTTTTTTCTGGCGAAAATTTTCAGAATTTTGGACGGCCGAGAGAATTTAAAAAATTCGATTTATCTGAATCCATCACCTCTAAAACACCTGATTGAGACGTGAGAGATAATGGTTTTCATCAAATTTCAGTCATCCAAATCCCGCAATATCACATTTAATCCCTTCAAATTTGACTTTTGAGTTGCAAAAAAGAACTTAAATTTTCTAAATTTTGGACTGCCCCAATCAGAAATCCGGACACGACTCTTTTCTCCTCTCTCCATTCTGTTGAGCAACGGGTTGCTTTTTAATTAATTTCACAATAAATATACTCAAATGTTTTTACTTTTTATTTTCTCAAACTTTCAAT